CTTAGAACATCAACTTGAACCATTCTGACCCCTGAGCCACTGGGGTCTGTACAAATTAATTTAACAATAGACAGTGTTGAAAGGGAGGAATGTTTCAAAGGAATTAAAAAAAAAATCTCCCTCATCCATCTCATCTCACTTAAGAAATAGTCAGGAGGCCCACTTCAGAAAAATCAGGAGTGCTCCTTGTTGCCAAACAATGGTCCATATACAGGGAGTGAGGAATGCATTGCCATCTTGCATCTTAGTGTGGGGAAATTTCCCGTAAGCTGGTTCTTTTGCAGAATTGGCCTTTAATTTCCACTGGGGAGGCGGCTTCATTTCCTGGGATACTTTGAATGTGCTCTTGCTGTTTGCCTTTATTTTTCGTACTTGCCAACGGTACTTGTACTAAGCAGATGCATAGCTCTTTACTCACTGTACTAATTTGTGCCTTAGACTCATGGAATTGTTAAGGTTGGGAAAGACCTCTTAGATCATCTAGTCCAGACATCAGCCCATCCATGCCATGCCTACTGGCCACATCCGCACAATAGTAGAACGCTTCCAGGGACGGTGACTCCACCACCTCCCGGGCAGCCTGTGCCACTCCATCACCAGTCTCCATGAGAATGTTTCTGATATCCAACCTGCACCTCTCTTGGTGCAACTTGAAGCCATTAGCACTCATCCTATCGCTGTTACCTGGGAGAAGAGGCTGACCCCCACTTCTTTGCAATCCCCAGAGAGTTTTAGAGAGTAGTACCTTGCCTCATACCTTCCAAGGCTTCCATTGTGATTGGGTAGGAATAACATCTCTGTCCTTATGGTAATTTGGGTTTAAGTCATCTGGTGATTGAAAGACCCTTCTCATATGAGATAATAACAAAATGGTATCTTTACCTCTGTAGTTAATGTGTGCATCACTTCTGCTGAATGAGAACCTGGCTTGGGGTAAGTCATGGGCTTGGGATAAGTGCAAGCCTAACCCTACCCTAACCAGGTTCCTCTGCTGTTCCTTAGCGTAAACTTTGACTTCAGCATTGCCATTTGGTTTAGCAGGCATAATAGTGATGGTTTGATGGATGGGCTAGGTGATTTTAGAAGTCTGTTCCAACTTTGATGATTGTATGATTGTTCATAAGCAGGGAGGATTATTATGGCAAGTTGGATATTATGTGAAGGTGGATGCATGAAGCAATGATAATGTGATGTGTCATGTGATGTGATAAGTGAATGATAATTGGAAAATTTTTTGTAGATTTGTTTTGATAACTTTAAAACCGTTCAGTGAGTGTAGATGAGAGAGACAGAAGCTTGTTCCTGAAGGATCCAGTAGGCTTCAGTAGCTGCGCTCATGAGACCACCTGTTTTTCTTCATTTGGCCAGCATCATTCATTAAGATTGTCATTTCTGGCTTGCTACCCAAAAGTTTGCTGCCTCCAGCAGAGATGTGCTGCCTTCATGAGCATACCCAACACACACCTCAGGTGGTTTTGTGGGAGATTCCCCACAGAGTTCTGCCACCAGCTAGGGGGAACGCAAGGAGGGGCTGCCCTCTGCTCCCAAACATTGCTGAGGGCACTGACTGTGAGGTGTGAGAAGCCCCAGGAGCTGAAGGGGAGCTGACTCAGTGTTCCGTGTGGAGGGAGATAAGATAAACTGATATTTCTTTGGGCTTAGGGCAGCTTTCCACTTGCAGCCTTCAAGATCCTGCTAGGTTGCAGGGGTCCTCTTGCAACTAATACAGTAATGACCTTGAATTCGCTTCCAGCTCAGCTGTGCTGCTGGAGGACAAGGCTTTTCTTGTGAGTAAAAAACATTAAAGCAGCACAGAGATTTGCCTGCATAGCTCCGGTCTAAAAGAGATTTGAGTATCCTTTTTGAGGCCCCACTTGCAACAAGGGATTGTAGATAAGCTTCTGCAGTAGCTAATGGGTAAAGTTTTCTGATTTATTCTCACTGGTGTCTCTCCTTTTACTTTTGCAGTATTGACAAATATAGTGGTGTATACTGATAATTTCTTTTATGTGGATGATTTTTTACTGCATAATACATGTAGTCCTGTGCATGCTCACACGTGCATGCTAACCAATACAAGTATGCTCTATGGCTGTCAGCTTATTAGGCAAAAAATCTTTTGCCTCGATTTAAAATTAATTAATGATGCTACTCATGGCTTTCTCAGATTGTAGCCTGAGTGTCAGGTGGTGGAGCCCAAACTAACACTTCATGCTGCAGCAGCCTTCTTCATGGAGCACGCATTATCTTAGGCAGTTAGAACCTTACCTATTTTCACACCTGAATTAAGGCTAAATCCTGTCCTATCAATTTCTGGTGGTAAGATAAAACAAAACTTGGAAGACCCGAGAAAAACGTGAGGTTTTGTTAAGGTTTGTGCTTGAATTGTGGTTAAGCTTGTTGCGTGTGTCAGTGGAAGGTATTAGTGACTTCTTCCTTTGTCGCTTCTACTTCCTACAAGCTTGTCTGTTAGAAAGATTCTGCAAGATGCTTCCTTTGCAGATCCGGTGAGAAATGTGAATTCAGCAGGAGAAACATCTGACTGAGCACAGACCAACTTACACAGCGGTTTGGAAGCCACGTGTTGAAAAGTGCTGGGGAAACACAGCAGGGAAAATGATAAAAAGGGATGAAAGCAGTTCAGACAGGCGAAGAATGCAGCTTTAAAAATGCAAAACATCTGAACGCTGATGAGTGGGCTGGTCGCAATAACTTCAGGGCAGACTGAAGTTGCACACAGTCATATGCTGTGAGTGGGCTCCCACAGGACATCGCCTGGAGTGATTTAAAATTGGAAGCGGGGGGAGAGGGAGGGATTGTCGGGGTCCTGCAGAGAATGATCTTGCGGCAGCAACAGCAGAATGCAGCTGGGAAATGGGTCAGTTGGAGTAATAGCTTTTTCTTTCCATGTAGTTCCCGTGAGCTGAGCCAAACGTGTGCAGAGGCACGGGGTTATCGTATTCATGAATGTTTCTTTCAGCGTATTGGGGATTAAATTTAGTCACCCAAGTGTGACACTGAATCTTCTCTGGACAATGCTGTAAGTCCCAAAGTTAGCTTGGTTTTTTTTTTTTTTGTTTTGTTTAAATCCCCCAGTGTTCTAAACTTCGCCTTGATTTTTAATATAGCCTGTGTTAGAAATGTGATGCTGTGGCCTTGCGTTCCAGAGGGGTCAGCAGAAATGCTGGTCTGAAGTATTTTTGCTCATGCTACCTGCAATCTGTTCTCGTCTCCGCACTGTGGTAGGTGATCTCCTGGTCTGTGCTGGAACAACTGTGTGTGACCGCAGTGACATGGATAAAGGGGCTGACCCATTTTTTAATCTTTTTTCCTATAAAAAGCAACTTTTAATATGTATTTCCTCAGCTCTCTACCCCTGCTGTATCAGTGTACTGGGACAGATGGTGCTGCACATAGCTCTGTGCACAGCAGTGTTATACGAGATGGCAGGGCTATGGAGCACGAATAAGGAGCAGGGCTGAGGACACCTTGCCCCAACATCACCGCTGATTTCTTTTCGATGTGAGAACACAGCCTTCATTCTAAGCTTGACACTCAGCTATGACATACTTCAGCAGCTTGAGGAAAGGTGGCAGTGTACAGTGATCTTGTGTTTGGTCCCTCCTGGCTGTGAGGTGTAACCAGCCAAGGTGTTATCAGAGGTGCATGAAGCCATGTGTGGTGTTTGGGTGGGGTTTAATACGATGTGTGCTCCTGCAGTGCAGGCTGCTATTGAAATCCGCTGCTCCACTTCTCCTTTTCTGACCACAGCTGGCTGGCACAAGTGGCTTTTAAGTAGCACCATTGGTCATTGGAGCAAATGGGGTTAGGAAAAAAACTCCAGAAAAAGGGGGCTTATTTTTAAACTGTATTAGCTAAGCCATGTGTCACTAAGTAGAATACAGTTAGTTACACTGCGGTGTTAAAAGTGTGGCTGATGATGAGTATGGTGCAGGGGCAGGGGGGTGGGGGAAATGATAAGGATTATGGTAAGGGAGGGGCAGACTTTCTTCAGCTAGTTTTGCCCCCAAAGCCCGCAAACAGCACTTCATTACACAAGTGGGTTTGTGTAAGGGCATGGTGTGTGTGATGGTCCAGCATTGCATTAGTTTATTTCCCTTGGAACAAAGCCCCTTTCCTCAGACTTGATCTCATTTTGGACAACACAACCCTCCATTAATACACAAGCTGTCCAAAATCCCTGGTATTAGTGGAGCACAGATTTCCATGTCTAGGTCTGACATTCCTCCCCACCCTCCTTATGTAAATCTCCATCGTTATCCTAAAGGCATGTATTTAGCTGGAGGTGCCAGTCAGCACCCTGTTTGGAAAACACTAACTCTTCAAGCTTTGATGTGAAGAACTCTTTCATATCACTTCAGGGCATGCACATCATCCAAGCAGAGCATCCAAACAGCTCTTTGCTTATTCGGGTGCAATCCTGGGCTGCGCTCCCCAGCAGAGGATTTTGCTCACTGAGACTGTGTCAGTTCACAGCAGCTAAGAAAAGGCTCCTGAACTGCTGGTGTGATGCTCTTCCCTGCTCCCCCTCTGATATCCACAGAGTACTGTGCCACTTCAGGGGTGTGGGCAGGGGAGGACTGTCCAGATGAGTTTGTGCTCCCTGCCTGGTGCAAAAGAGTAGACAGTTTATATTCTCCCCACTGTGCATGCAGCCAGGCACGGGTTTTGGTTTTGCTTTTCTAATGGTATGCAACAGAGGCAGGCAGGCACATGATCTCCCTGAAGGCAGGATCCAGTGTTACTGTAGAAACTGGCCACCAGCTTCTTTTGTAGCTAGCAGCTGTCACTGTGTGGTTACAGCCAAAGCCTGTCACTCCTACAGTGTCTGTGAGCTCTGGAGTTTGTTCCTGCATCTGAGTGCTCTGTGCTACAGCTTAGAGATTAATTCTGCACCTTCTATCAAAGCTTGTGAAGTTATTTCTGATTTGTATCTATTTTTAAAGCCATTCGTGATCAATATTTGATCTTCTTTACAGGTGTCATTCTCCTTCGCCAGTACTTCAAGGCACAGAGGAGCTGGTAAAGGCATTGCCATGAAACCTAACTTGAAGCAATGGAAACAACTCATGCTGTTTGGAATCTTTGCATGGGGTCTGCTTTTTCTAGTGATCTTCATCTATTTCACAGACAGCAACAGTGCTGAGCCAGTTCCCAGTTCCTTTTCTTACATTGAAACGAAGAGGCTCCTGCCCCTACAGGGCAAGCAGAGAGTCATCATGGGAGCCATACATGATCCTTCATTCTCTGAAGCCATTGATGGGAATGAGGTACTCCTTAATGAAGATCTTTTAGACACATTTAAATCAGAGACTGGAAGTATTAAGAAATGGACTGATTTGGAAGATGCCTTTAGAAGCGAAGACGAGTTTTTTCCATCACAGGTAGGACGAAAATCAAAAAGTGCTTTCTACCAAGTGAACGATGATTATTTATTCGCTGCTGGTCAGCCTATGTCACACAGCAACTTTCAGGAGGTAGCAAAATTCATCTCAGCCAATGAGGATAATCCAAAAGAAAATATTTTACAGAACAACTGGGGCCATCAGAGGAGAATGAGGAGAAGGAGCACAAAGCACAGAAGAAGCCAGATGCTTGATGAATCTGATGACTGGGATGGGCTGTATTCTACAATGTCGAAATCCTTTCTTTATAAGCTTTGGAAAGGAGATGTCTCTTCCAAGATGCTAAACCCTCGACTGCAGAAGGCGATGAAAGATTATTTGAGCACCAATAAGCATGGTGTGCGTTTCAAAGGGAAACGAAACTCGAAGCTGACAGGCGACCAGCTTTTCTGCGAGCTGAAAGAAAGGGTGAATGTGAGAACAATAGATGGCAAGGAAGCTCCCTTCTCCACTCTTGGATGGGAGAAGCATGTTCCTCAGATTCCACTGGGCAAATTGTATACACATGGCTTTGGGAGTTGTGCCGTAGTTATGTCTGCTGGTGCAATACTGAACTCCTCTCTAGGGGATGAAATAGGTGGGTGAAATACATCTGTTCATGTGCATAAGTATGTATACATGCGTATTCACATTTGTCTTTCAAAAGATTTATACTTCTCAAGCATTGGCCTCTAAAGGATCTGGTTAATCTCTCTTACCAGCATTATGTGAGTGTGAGCATACAGATCTCAGTGAAGCTGAGTGAAACTCCCTTTCAGAATATTATAACTGAAAGGAAAATCCAGCCTGAAGTCCTAATTTGATTTAAAGAAAACAATGATTACTTCTTGTAATATTACAGCTTGTAGTATAAAGGAGGCACCAGTTTCATCAGTTTTGCCATATTTGACATTTTGCTGCAAACTGTATTTAGTTCTTCAGATCAGAGCCACTTTCAGATTCTATTCCAAAAAGCTGTGTTGTACCTGTCCATATTTTGGTGTGACTCATCAGGAAACTGCTTGTGGCTTTACTGTTCCAGGCTAAACTTTGTCTCTGTGCCAAGAAGCAATTGAGCATAATCTTAATCTCCTGCATGTTTACAGCTCACAAGCAAATAGAATTCAGGCCCTTCAATAACTCCATTCTTCAAGATCAAGTCTCCTGACCTCTCTTCTAAGTGTGAATTTAAATGAGTTCAAGTATCTCTTCCCATTGTTTCTCCATTGCTGCAGTGAGTCATTGAGATGTCAACATTATACAATTCCTTGCTTAAAGCAGAGGGTTTTGTGTTGGCTATTCAAAAAAGAATTGGGGAGCCATAAAACAAACTGGGCTCAGTTCTTGTTTTGCCTTTTTTTGTTGTTAGCTTTTTTTCCCCCCAAATTGGGTGTTACAAGTTGTATTAACATCCCAGTAGTTCATTTTAGTGCTATATATGCAGTATGCTAAGAGCACTGAAAGAAGGATGAGATGGATGTCTCAGGTTTTGCTTCTGGAGCAGGAAGAATTATCTCCTTTAGCACTGTAGAAACCTTTTGATGTGCACTTTAATCCTCCCATCTTCCACAACTTCACATTCCAGTACCTGCTTCATCGCGCTGTATCATCTCTTTGACACAGATGGGTGTCCTTTAAATCTTTGAGATATTTAAGAGCTGCTATCATTATCAAACTACTCTAGTAGGCTTCCAGCACAACCCAGGTGCCCTGATGTCCTACAGCAAAAGTCAGAAGTCAAACTAGGGTAATCCATTATTTCACTCCAGTGGAAGGCTCCACTGATTTAGAAATCTCTGGAGTGAGGTAGCTTTGCATGTTGACCATTCTCCAGTGTGTTATTGTAGACTGAAACAAAATTTCCTTTTATCAAGTGTTTCCCACTGCATCCAGTTTACGCCAGTACAAATGGGTGATGTACTGGAGAATCCATAGCACACTGTGACTTGCATTAAAGCAGCATGCGTCGTGGCATGCATGTGCTTGGGTACAGCCCAGGTGTGGGATTTGGGATCCTCTTGCTCCTGTGTTTCCATTCCGTCATAAAAACTCAGGGCATGGAAAGCTTATGCCATTCACTGCAGAAGAACTTTTGGTTTAATTGGAAATGATTCTGATGCTGCCTAAAAGGAAGAGATTCTGCTGTGTAAGGCCTATGCTGATGTTTTTCATCTCCTGCCTGCTTGCTTGACAGGAGAGTGTGTGGGGCAACAAGATTCACAAAAGATTTTTGTAAATGTTATGCAGGCTTTGAGCAGGTACAACTGATTGAACAGAGAATTCAGCTCCAAACTGTGGGGCCTGACTGACTGCCATCAGACGCACAGGTCCTGTGGTCACTGTGACTCCTTGGAAGTCTTTTCAGTGTCCACAGAGGCACGGGGAAGACTGTCTCATTGGGGAGTGGGGAGAAACACCCTGCGTGTGAATTCTGGTTTGGAGGCTGTGTGTTGTACTGCCTTGTTTGATGAAGTTGCTATGGACAAAGGCTCTTGCTGTTTACTCTCCTGAAAGAAAGATGTAGGTGTAGGAAAGGAGCAGTGCAGGATCATTCTCTTCATAGGCCTTTAGCTCCCTCTTCTGTGTTCCTATTAGAAATGCAGACAAAAATACTGATGTTTCCTTTAGTTTCATTAGGAGAGAAATATGGGGTAAGGGACACCAAGTGTGGAAATACATGCGATACCACAAATGCTCCCAACGTGATCATGCTACTAAACGGGAGACACAGTTATTTTGGCAAAATCAGAAGGTAGTGGGGATCTATGATCTCACCTCAAACTTTTGGCAACTTTGAAATAGTTATTTTTGACTACTTACTAAGATTAAAATCACTTAATTTGAAAGCAGTTGTCATCAGTGTTTGACTGCATCCTGATCAAATACTTTCTGATCAAGGAAATTTTTTTTTCATCATGATATGAAAAAAACAGAGTGAACAATCTCGGAAATGCAGTACACTGTCTCTGAGTTAAGTTGTGAAACCATACAGTTCCCATTTCCTAAACCAATTTCTCACTCAAAAGATAGTCAAAAAGTTGTCCGAATTTATTTATATTTTAAATTAATAAGCAGATTTCAGGTATAAAGGGCTTTTGTTTTTCTTTTACATCTCTAGAAATGTGGAGTACTTGCCACTTCTATTGACTTAGTGTCTTCTAGCTTCTCCAGAATCAAGATAATTATGTTTAGGCAGATGGAAGTTAGGTGTTGGGGTGTGTGGGGCTCCTGCATAGCAACATGGAAGAAGTCTCCACAACCTCCTTGGGCAACCTATTCCACTGCTTCACACAGAGGGTAATGACACACTGGAACAGGTTGCCCAAGGAGGTTGTGGATTCTCCATCCCTGGAGGCATTCAAGGCCAGGCTGGCTGTGGCTCTGGTCAACCTGGTCTGGTGGTTGCTGACCCTGCACATAGCAGGGGGGTTGAAACTCACTGATCATTGTGGTCCTTTTCAACCCAGGCCATTCTGTGATTCTACGATTAACTGTAAATTTTGCAATAGAGATATCAAGTGACTGTGTGTGCTGGATGTACTGATAACCTTTCTATGTGAATTTTATCAAATAAACATTTTTAAGTATTGAAAGCTAAATTTACAAATGATGATTTTTTTTTCCAATGGATAATAATGTATGGCAGATGCAAGTGGATTTTTGTTTGCTTGTAGCAGAATGTTTGTAATCCTTAGAATAGCAAGATCAGGAGAAATGTGCAAGTTTTACATTAGTTGAGATAATTTGTTTTATTTTAATGTTCAGTCCCATTAAGAAAAATAAAAATGACCCCAATATTTGTGCTCCCAGATTCTCATGATGCTGTTCTAAGATTTAATTCTGCTCCAACACGTGGCTATGAAAAAGATGTTGGGAATAAAACAACGATGCGAATCATTAACTCTCAGGTAAGCTCTTCCTTTTGTGAATTCAAGTCATTGTCGCTTCTGCATGATACGACATTAAATTAATGACTTCTGAGAAAATGTTGGGTAGTCTGGGAAACAGCTAGTAATTTAACAGTCATGATATAGAACAGGTAAAAGTTCTCCCTTACAATGATGTTGACACAAGCCGTCAGTTCAGAATGATTGCAGTAGTTACTCGTTATCCATGTTCCAAGGAATGGGTTTGCAGAGCTTCTCATGTGTTCTGCACCTCTTCAGGCTGTGCAGGATGCCACAGTCCTCAGTAACAAACAATTTTGCCACACCACTTCCAGGATCTTCATAAAACCTGATCTGTGGGAATCCCAAAGCTTTGTTCTTTTCTCCTGTTCCCCAATTATTTCCTCACCGAAAGGTGAAGAGGATGAGGACTGATTTGTCTGACAGCCATTGTTCTTTAAAAATTTGGAGCTATCTAGTGAAAAACTTCTGTATCCACTGGATGTTACACCTGAGATGAGTCTGTTCATCTGAATAGAAATAGAAAATGGGATTTTCAGCACATCAGTGTCAACAAATGAAGCGTGCATTGAGCTATAGTGACACCTGATGGTTGTATTTTTTTTTAATTTTGAAAAACTGTTGCCTTGGGCAAACTAAATGTCTTTCATCTTTATGAAATGCAGCCGAAGTGTAATAACAGAATTGCTAGCTTTATAAAATGCTGATATGGTGAGTTTACTTAGTGCCAAGGGTACGGCTGGCCACACAGCATTTTGTGTATGTGCTGATTCATGGTGAAGAACATAAAATCTTACTCTGGGTTTAGTAATATATTGGAGAGTGCTGATGTAACTGATGTACATCTTAGTGTCCTTTATCTCAACTGTGTTTTTGGATTTTTTTTTTCCCCATCTGTTCTTCATTTTGCTTTGGGTTACTTTTTCCCAAAACATCCTAGTTATTGACCATGCCTAAGCCCCTGTCCCAAAGCAAGAAGAAGAGCTTAGAAACTTGATTTAGTTGACTAGTCTAACTATGGACCCTACAGAGAAAGAGAAAAATGCCTGCAGGGAGTGATTTGAGCTTTCTCCAGTCATCTCACACAGCTTCCTTGCAAACATTTGTATTCCCATCACCTTTCTGTTCCTTCAGAGAGGTCAGAAGCTTCGTGCTGAGAAACTGGCCTTTCCCTGCCGGGAGAGAAATTTGCACAGGTCACTTAATAGAACTGGCTTTCCTTACCAGTACTGAAGATGTGTAATCCATACTGGTTTTCTGATCCTCCTTCTCTCCTTACTGTAGGAAATTCCTTCATTCAGTTGATTAAAAGGCTGTTGTGGCCCTCTCCTTCCCTCACATTCCCTGCTATGAAAACCCAAAGGATGTGAAGGAAGCCAGTGCAAGCACAACACATATTGTTATTCCAGAGGAAATTCATCTCATACATATGAATGCATGTTCACTAAGAGTGAAATTTCTATGGACAGCACCTCTGAAGGACTCTTGCTTGCTGAAAGGCAAGCAGAGCTCCTTTGTGTGATAACTGTAGAACTGAGCTTTAAAAAGCTTGACCTTTTGGTATGCTTACTCTGTAGTCTTATGAAAGAAGTTTATGTTCTCAGGCAAAAACTGCTCTGAGAAATGGAGTTAGGGATGCTGATGGCAGCAAGACTAATTCTGTTCTTATTGTAGAAGGCTGGTGCAAAGTCATTAAGCTCAAAGTTTATGGTAGAAAGAATATTGCTATGGCAACAATATTATTTTTCTGAAGAAAAATATGCATAATCAAATATGGCTCATTGGATCCTAAAGGGAAATGAAAATTAGTATGAATTTGTCTGGAATGTTGATTAGTTTAACAGCTGGAGCTAAATTCATGCTGCATCAACCAGTGCAGAAATCATTCAGTTCAGTCCTTCCATTGGGTTGGATGCACCAGAGCTCAGAGAGATCTGGTTAGACACAGAGAGTCTGGGTAAGAAGCCAGCAGAAGTGGAAGGAAAACTTCCATCGGGGTGGGAGGATCAAGCAGAGTACTAGAAAAGGTGGGATGAAGCTATGAGAGTGCAGTAGATTAGAGCAATATCACAGTTACTTCAAAAATAGTACTATCACACATCTATTCCTGGAATTCTTTTTCTAGGTATACGAGCTTTTACTGTCATGGTTTAATTTTCCTTTTCAGAGGTACTTCACACGACACTGTGCTGCTGTTGAAATGAGAAAACAACCAATGGGGGGGGGGGGGCAATAAAAGAAAAATACAAAGACAAGGGTATTCTTCGGGGCTGCAGCTCTTCAAAGAAAGCTAGTCTGTGTCCAAAAAGAGGATCCTGCAGGCAGTGTGAAATATCGTAGCTTTCATTGTAACGTTCCGGAACACGCAGTAGTGCTGATGTACAATTATGCAGAATCTCAAGTGGTCTCATCACATCACAGATGGAGAGTAACTCAGAGTACTGCTACTTCAAACTGTCATAGTGCTGTTTATGGCTAGGCTCTTTGTATGTATATATGTGTGTATATATCTATATGTATATATATGTATGTATAAAAACAACCCTATTTTTGGGTATTATGTATAAAAGGGTCTATATACGTATATATATATATATATATATAATAGAACAAGTTGCTTAAAGCCAAATTAAATTAGAACAAAGAGCAGAGTGGGGATGACTGTTTATTTTAGGGTAGAGTTTTGCCCTTTTACTGGGTCCCATTTGCTTTCAACTGCATTTTTTTCACACGTGTATTTGCAGATTCTCACCAACCCAAACCATCACTTTGTCGACAGCTCCTTGTACAAAGATGTTATCTTAGTAGCCTGGGATCCTGCGCCCTACTCTGCGAATTTGAATGTGGTAAGATGTCTCCTTGTTCCTTTCTTCCCAGTCAGTCCCAAAATACTGGGCAAAATTTGTCTATTTAGTACTCCTGTCTCCCTGTTTCTCACCACAGTGAACCTCAAAGTCATTCTCTGAGGAGCAGGGTTCACTACTTATGCCTGAACTGGCCAAAATAAGTTTATTGGTTAAAATGCTGTTTTTGTAGCCAGCACTTGTACTAGAGTGGCTTCCTCTGAGATACTAGAATAGATGAATGGTGTGGATTTTTTTCGTTTAGGTATGCTACTATTTTTATGTGGCAGTGAACTTTCTGTATATTTGCAAAGGAGGGATATTGCTAGATCTCAGAAAGAGGCTTTATCAAGAAAGGTGACAAATTGCATCCTTCTTTTCCCACCTTCCCAGATGAAATACAGCACCTCAGTAACAATCTCTCTTGGTGCTTTCCCTGTGTCCCAGGCCTCCCTCTACCAGTTCCCCTTTGCGTCTGCTCTCCCACAGCCATCTGTGCTCCTCGCTGAGAGCAGCCAACGTTCGTCTGGTTGTCACTTGGAGAGCCTCTGCCTAGGCAAGTGCTGCAGCTCCAGTGGACCAGTTGATCTGATGGTTCTTGGCAGGGGGAGCTGGGAGCTGAGCAGGCTGTAAGTAGGAGGAAACCTTCATCTGCTCAACTCCCATGGCAGCAGATGCCAGAAACTGCCTGCTTCTTGCATAGGCTGTCACAGGGCTGCTTCACGTGCTGATGTTTGATGTGCCTTGTGGGCTTGAGTGGGAGTCGGGATTGGCTTGTCCTGCTGCACTTAGTTGATTATTGGATGTCTCTGTGTGAAAAAAGGCAGAAGAGTGGCCTAGAATGAGGATTTCTAGGACAAATGTTCACCAATGCCAGCTGCCTTCATAGAATCACTAATGACTTGAATTAGAATGGGCCTCAAAGCCCATGCAGTCCCAACTCTCTGCCATAGGCAGGGCTGCTCCCCAACAGCTCAGGTGTCCAGGGCCCCATACAGCTTGGCCTTGAGTGCCTCCAGGGCATTCGAGCTCATTCACATTGTTTCTCATGTAGCATTCAAAATACATTGGATAACATAAGATTTAAGAAAGTTCTTGCTTTTTTCTTCCCAGTGGTATAAGAAGCCGGACTACAATCTGTTCACTCCCTATGTACAGCATCGCAGGAAGAATCCAAACCAGCCTTTTTACATTCTCCATCCAAAGTTTATATGGCAGCTCTGGGACATCATTCAGGAGAACACTAAAGAGAAAATACAGCCCAACCCTCCTTCTTCAGGTTTTATTGGTAGGTGCATCAAGGATGGGCCCAGTCCTATGTTAGATAAAAACAAAACTATAAATGTGTATGTTTCATGAGTATCTCATCTATGTACATCTGTTTTTTGTTCTTGATCGAAACTGGAATAATGACTATCCAAAATACAAGAAATGAGAACTATAAAACAGTTGGGTGAATTTACTGTTCTGCTGTCTCGCTCTTCATATTCATAGTACATGTATCATACTTCTAAAATACACGCATCTATGAGAAATTTATATTATTCCATATTAATTTATCCATTGACAACCAACTCAATTCTGAAGTTCTTTGTTGAGATCATGTAACAGTGGTGCTCAAGACCGTTAGTGAAAGCATGCAGCACATCATGCTGTGAGGTTGGAGTCACTGATGCAGTCTGACAGACCAGACTGTAATCCCATGCACATGCCTAGGAATGAAATTTCCCTGTCACAGCTTCCAGTGAAGTCTGTAAGAGGCTGAAGCATCCCCTTTCTTCTTACCCTCAAAGCAATAGAATTTCATCATATTTTTCCATCATTTGTTAATATTTATTGAGGGACAGTTTGGCACTGAGGCCACAGTTCATGCTGCCTAATGTCGTAAATGAGAGCATTATCTGGAACATAGCAAGTCCTTATTGTGAATGTTGAAAGGACGCATGTAGTTCAGAGGAGCAAAACTGAGTCAGGATCTTCCTTATTTATGCATCTAGAGGCACAGGAATCAATAGAACTCCAAGTGCCATTGTCTGCCTTGGAAACTTGTCTTTTCATTTGAATCTAAAAGCAATGATATATGACATTTCATCAGCTATGGGAAGACCATTTCTGAGCACTCGTACTGGGCTTTGTATGCAGTAGTGGCATCCTATGGTTTTGTGGAGCTCACCAAGGGCTATAGGGAGAGTGCTTGAGGCTCTGAGTGGGATAACATAAAGGTGCCTGAAAAAGCGTCCATTGATGTCCTGAGTTGGCTGTGCTTGTCTGGATCATGAGTGGAAAGAAGAAAAGGGTTGTGTGGGGGAAGGATGGCTTTGCAGTGGGTTACTTCTTGAAGTGAGATTTTTGGTGCCTGTGTGTAGAAATTCATAAGGAGAAGTCTGCTCATGTGGAATGATCTCATCAGCAGCATTCACATTCTGCAAAAGCAATTCTTGGAGTAATGAAGTTGTTGATAAAAATAGGATAACAGCTGCTGATCATAAGAATAGTGGAGAGGATCATTGTGCTGTCAATCTGTACTCTCCACAGTATATAAGAAACACTTCAAAAGCTTTCTTTGAAGAAACATGATTTAATTTCACTGTAAGAATAAAACAGTGATCTTCAACCCCGAACCTAAATGTTCCTGACAAAAATATACTACAAGCAGAAAATGCTTGGAAAACATTAACTGCTAAAGAAGCGAAAACATTGGCGACAAAAGCTGCACAGTTACATGTAATAAGTGTGTGGAGATTTAGATAAGGCTATTTGCCTATTTTATTTATAATATAAGAATGCCTATTATTTATTTATAATATATTACTTTATTCTATCTGGTTCTTGTCCAAAGTAAACTTTTATATATTTTAGCAATGCTAATATTAGCTTCTAGAAAATAAGACAGTAAGACATGCTCATTGAGAGTCATACGCACCTCGTTTGATAACTACCTACTATTTTGATAGATGCATTTTAAATGTGTCATTAGGGAAAGCTTCCTATTTTAGAAACCTTATTGAATAGATGTCAATCCATTGCACATATAATATAATAAAAACTGGGAGAGAGCACAGGAACAGCAACTATATCCTTTCGAAGGGCAAGACAAAGCATAGAGCATATAATGCAGCTCGGCAGAAATCTGAAAAGTCATGTTGGTCTTCATGTCAGGTATCTCTCAACAACTCATGCAGCAAATATCCATTTGGAACTGAAGCTGAAAGACACAACTGAGTGCACCTGTACGAAACATGTTCTGACTATCAAACTTCTTCCTATTTATTAGTCCCAGTTTACAAAATTGGATAAATTGTAAAAATTAAAACATGGATACATCAGGAATGTCAGGAACATTTTAGGGTGGTCTTAGAGAATTACTTCAGCAATTACATCTTGAACCTGAAATTTATATCCATTTCTGCTGCTTAGTATTATTTACAAGAAACTGAGTCTTCCCAAAGGGAGGATTTGGGATGGAAAGTGTTCTCACGGTGTTTCTCTGCAGCACTGAGTCACCCATCCTTCAGCAGTAGAGAGAATCTTTTAACATTCAAGAGATTCAGGAGAATCATTTAACACTGTTAAATAGCTATGTGAAGGTACTTAAGTCACAATATTATTAATCCTTTCGGAAAAGGGGCAAGTGGTTCATTTGTGAGGAAGAGGTAGTCTTGTACATATTGTTACCCGAGTGGGAAGAGTTGGAACCTTTTCCCTGGTAACTTCACTGCATAGGAGCTGAAGAGGATAAGTTTTGTGCTTATTTTGGGTTATGGGTTGCTCTGTTTCAGCATAACTCTGTCCTGGAGCCCCAAGCTCCCCCAGACCCCACTGTATTAGCTCAGTATGTTGTTGAGTTGAGGCATCCGCACTGCAGTAGCTCAAGGCTAAGGTGAGGTAAGAATAGTGCACATCTTTGCTGGAGGAAAGGGGTGTGGAGGGTCTGTGGGGAGGAGCAGGGTTGAATGTGCTACAGGCTACATTGAAAATAAGGCACAAGTCTGGAATGCTTTGATAATATCACATTTTATGTACATTCTCATACAGATTTAAATCTTGCAGTAATTGCATATGTCACTGCTTCTAATCACTTCTGAAATGCTAAACTATAATGCATATACTATGGAGGTTTTATTAAAATCAGGTGAAATGAATACTATCCAATACACATCAACTTCATCCAGTTTCTATGGCATCAGGCTGTAGCATGCAGATGTTCCTGCTTTCAGTTTTCTTCCAAGCGAGATGTCACCTTGCAGCAACCCATCCATCACAGATGCCATTCTGCACCTTAGCAGTGCTACAAATATCTGACTGCAGTCTTTTGCATTGAATTTGCTGTTGGCTTAACAATGCTTCCTGTCCAGCTTAATGATAGGTATAAGTTCAGGACATCATTGAAAACAGACTGAACGCACTGTCAAATTGCATCCAGTTTGTAGTGTGTTACTTTATGGGCATGCCATCTTTGTATGGCACAGACAAGTCATCCTCTAGTGGAGCTGCCTCAAGGGGTTTGAATAATGACCAAGAACATAGATTTGTTGTTGGATTTTCTGGTTTGTTTTGCTTTGTTTTTTGGGGGGATCAGTGCTCCAAGGGAAAATAAATCTTTTGTTTTAATCTGGGAGTCTTTTGGCTTGTTTTCTGAGACACTGCAAGACACTGATGAAGACTTCTCCTAGCTTGTAACTTTGTCTTTTGGCATGTCATATCTTAGCTAATGTCATTCCTCGTTATAAATTATTCACTCTTTGTGTCCCTAATCTAATCTTAGATGAGCTTTGAGAATCCTTTTCCCGAATATTTTTGCATTGTTTCTGTGGCTGCCGCCTTCATGCTTTTAAACAAAAGACTACCTGGTGTTCTCATTGTCTTGCATTAGCCCTAGGCAACAAGTTGCCTTGGTGACTTTTTGCAGTTGGCAACACTAGTTCACACTTGGTTGAAAACTGGGTTTGTTAAACGAATATTGATATGTTTACATCCAGTCTGTGAACTGCTGCATATTTTTCAGACATGATGAAATGTAGGAGTCCAGCCACCAAATCTCATGTAATCTGGATTATATACAGTTTTGTAATGAAGACCCCTTTATATGAATTCCTGCTTTCTGTAGTCCATTGGCACATTTTTCTAACTCACCTCTTCAGAAGTGATTTTACCTGAAATTCACATTTGTATACCTGTCACTTTTTTTCAGCAGCTTTTGTCTTTTTGACAGTGTTAGTCTGCTGGCTTTTTTAACTTCCAAATCTGAACGTGGTCTGTGTAGGTTTCTACATTTTATTAGCTTAATAAATGAACCACTGAATGCAAAATGATTACCAAGCCCAGGTTAATTTATTGCAAGGAGAAGGAAGAGGCTCGTTTGAGGCTTTACAGTTCACATTACAGACTCAAAACAGTTCTGCATCATTAATATCATTAATATTTAGTCTTCATGTGCATGCATTGAGACAATCATACAAGCAAGACTACCATTACACTGCAGTAGTAGCAGTTCAGTATATGACTAAGAGTTTAAATTTAAAATGGCTTCAGAGAGTGTGTTGAATAGAAGAGTGCAGCTCATCTCCAGCTCTGCTTAGAAAAACACACTTCCATGAGCTGAAAGAAACAATTCGACTTAGTAAGACTTGCCTTTATCACTTAAATTATCACTTTATTACTTAATCAGCTGTTCTTCAGTGGTTGGTTGAAGAACTGAAGGGTGCTTTTCAGCTCAGTATTGTTCAAGTATTTTATGCAGAGAAATAATATTTCCAATACATAATCTTCAATACATATTTTTTTTCATTTACATTAAAAACATTACAGAGCTTGAGCATCTCCCTTACTTAAACTCCTACCTCCTTACTTACTTACTCCTCCTGTCTTAAATTACAGACATAAAACAAACTTCTCTCTTCACCCAAATCACATTAAAACCCGAAAATTAAAAACCAAATCACATTAAAAATCTTCAATATTCTGGCACATCACCCAAATTTAGATAATATATTTTAAAAATATATTTTAAAAAATACGTGGATGTTACTGGTCAATATTTTCCAGTCTATGCTCATATTACGGAGTATATTACTGTGATCAATGTATAGATTTTTGCATTCCACATTGTGACAGATATATCATTTTCTAGCTCTAGTACATAATGTGAGTATTATACATCTAAGATGACAAGTATTACACAATTTGTTAGGCTTAGGCATTTGGTAATTATTAAATTCCTTAGTAAGTATTTGTTTTTCTGCAAATTTAGATAATGTTTTATTTCAGTTAGTTTTGTTGTAGTACATC